CTCAGGATGCTGCCAGCTCACTAGACCTTCAGCCCTCTGGGGCTCTCATAAGGCCGTTGGGAGCAGTGCCACTGCCCGTGGGGCCATCTCTGGCCCCTCTGTAACTCTGGGCTTTAGAAACTATAAATGATTTGTGTTTGTAACGATGGCACACCCTTCACCAAGGTTACCCACACAGCCTGGAGGAGGCCCCTCAGGGTCTTCACTTTCCCACCTGAGGCCTTTGTTGCCTCCACCCAGCCTCCCTCCTTCCAGGCCTGAGTTGCTCTCACCTCCACCCACTGCTCATCAGAGTAGAGCTTGAGCAGCACGCAGGGGTGGGGCTTGGTGAGTGTGTCTCGGTCCAAGAGGCCATGGCAGGATACCCGAAGCTCCACCCGCGAGGCCCCCAGTGTCATGGCTGGGGGCTCAGGCACCCATCCCATCTCAGGGTCCGACATGTCACTGTGGGGACAGAGCAGATGGCCTGGATACTGGAAAGGGAACACCTGCCATGGGAGGGGGTCTATCTTCTGGAAGCCTGGGCCCCACCCTCCCTTGCCCTGTTTTTTTCCTGAGGCCCGGGACCCCCTGCACCCCCCGCACTTCCTGGACCTCCTGTTTCCCCTGCCCTCTCTGGGCTTGGCTTCCCTTGGAGCTCTGAGCAGAGGAGGGCAGAGTACCTGAGCCTCCCACACCTGCACAGTCTGTGCTTCTGTCACCCCTTCTGGCCTAGTATGTATGGAAGGGGCTGGACAGGGCTAGAGGGTTGGGGGTGTTCCTGGCAGTCTTGGCTCCTAGGCCATCGATTGATCCACACTTTTTGCTGCCTCAGCACCTTCTGCTGTTTCCCAACCTATGTTTGAGCCAGCGCAGCACTCAGTCTTGGCCCCAGGGAGATAAACTGGGGCAAGGGGGGTGGGGAAAGGGGTGGATGGGCCCCTGGAAGTCTGAAGAGGACGGGCCTCAGGAATGGAGCTGCAGTGGGCAGGAGGGAGCAGGGTGAAAGGTGCCCTGGGCTGTCCCTTTTTATCTCCCCCGACTCACTTTGCAGTTAGCTGACGGGAAGTGAGGGTGGTGGGCTTGGGGAGCTGGAGGCAGAGCCCTGAGCCTGCTGAGAGCTCCTCCAGGCTCCTGGCAGGGGCTCCCACTATGACAACTCTCGCTTTCCTCCCCACCTCCCCTGTTCTCACACTTCTTGGCAGCGCTGGCAGTGTCTCTAAGCGACGAGATTTTTGGGGAGCTGCGGCCCCCTCCATGCTGCCCGTGGGATGCACGCACGCCACCTTCCCCCAGCAGTGGTACCAAGCCTCGGGCAGCAGCAGGCAGGGGTACGCTGGCCCAAGTTCATGGCCGGTCAGTTCATCTATCTGTATCTGTCCACGTCTCAGGGTGAGGCTGTCTGATCTCATGTTGTGGTTCTGCCAGCGCGTGTGCATTGGTGTGTCTGAATGCTCCCACCTTGTGTGTCTGTCCCCTAGTCCTGTGTCTGTCTCCAGGAGGGTGTGACAGTTCCTGTAGGCACCTCCCTCAGAACGGGGACCCTTCTCTGGCTGGGTACCCCCTCCCCACAGCCTGTGCTTTCTGGATCTGTGAGGGGGGTGGGTGTCTGGATTGCAGGGGTCTCTGCCTTCTAGCCACCAGTCCCGGTTCTTGTAGGTCCCCTGAGAAGGGCAAGGGCATGTGATAGTGAGGGGATCCGGCAGAACCGGAGACTCCTCTGGGGGCTGGGGGAGATGCTATTACAGAGACTGGGTCAGGCTGGGCTGGGCAGGGCTGGGCTAGGCTAGGGAGGAAGGGGAGGCTCACCTGGGCTCTAGTTGGGGGGTTCCTCTCTCCGGCTCTGGCCCCAGCCTTGACTCCTTTTCTTCTCCAGCCGCTGGCGCCAGCTCCGGCTCTGGCTCTGCTGCTATTTATGGGGCAGGGATGGGGAGGGGAGGTGGCAGCACCAGCTCCCCCCTCACCCTCCCTCCAGTTGGGAGGGAGAAGAGAGGAGGGGCAGGGACACTGCCTGGGAGGGAGCCACAGATCTCGGGGAGGAGGGTGGGCTGGAGGTGGCTCAGAGGCAGGACCTCCATGGACACAATGACACACATCTTCTCCTTCACACCACACCCACACCCAGCATCACAGAGATGCACACACATTCACACCGGGAAGTGATGGAGACACGCACCCACAACCCACAGGCTCACACATATCTTGACACGCACAGATGCCAGCACGTAAACTCTCTGTGACACCACGACAGTTATAGCCCTACAGATACACATAGGGAAACACACCCAGTCTCACGACACTCTCCACATCATGCTTGTTAAGGATATTTGCGCATATAAAAGAACGCTGGCTACACTTGTCACTCACACACACTCACTCATGCCAGCCCAAATACAGCAGCATGGAGATCTTCACGTGCTCCTTAAAAACCACTCGGAACCTCATAGCTCTGAGAATGAGATTCAGTGTCCCAGCCACCAGTCTCCCTTTAACAGGGAGACACAAGGTCATGGACACAATTGCTTAAGGGCATGCGGTCTCATATTCTGGTCACACAACCAACTCCCAGTGGGATGTGCTGAAGGACTGATTCCAGAGGCATCTTCCCAGTGCCCACAATTCACTGTCCCCCAACCCGAGATTCCTTGTGGGAGGGGCCAAACCATGCACAGATCTTGAGGAAAGATTAGTCATTCCCTAGTGAGACCAGGGGAAGTGAGCAATTGCCTGAGGGCTGCCTGCCCCACGTGAAGACATCTGGGTCCATGTGATTGTGATCTGGGATGAGTAGGCAATAAGGTTCCCCAGAACACCTTCACCTTCAGCCCCTAAGCGGGCAGTCACTTACTGACAGCTCCTGGGTACCGGGCACTGTGCCAGGGGCTGGGGCTATGCAGGTGATTAGGACACAGCTCCCGGCCCTGGGGGAGTGTGTGTATATAGAACAGACAACCTCACAGACAGAGATGATAAGCCAATACACAAGCGCAATTAAGTGTGTCAGGTGCAAAGGTGCGGATCTGGTCAGGATGCAGTGGGCCGCAAAGAGGGAGGGTTCCCTGGGATGGGTTGGGGGAGGGCATCAGGAAGGGCTTCACAGAGGAAGAGGCTCTTGAGCTGGAGTCTGGAATGCTACGCTAGTATTTGGCAGCACACCAATGGGAAAAATTAATGTAATCATCAATCTTCTCACACCATAGACGCTTCTGTTCACCTTCAGGCCGCTTTACTGCGGAGATTTCTGACTATTGATGCACACGCACACGCACATGCACGCACAGCACCCTGCTCCCAAGTCTCCTCCTGGTACACTGGGGTCTTCCAATCCCACCACACGCCCCAAAGCTGGACACACACTGGTGCTGGTTTCTATCATTTTGGTCTCTTCTCCAGCCAGCTCAGCCCAGATCCTACACATGACACTTACTGGGTCCCTCTGACCTGCCCATCACTTCTCTAGTCTCTCCTCTCTGCTCAGAGCCCCAGCCCCAACCCTGTGAGGCACTCCTCCCTCTTCCCCACTGAGAACAAGCACTGAAGGGGAACAGATGGTGGGGTGTGGGGCAGTGAGTGGGGAAGGCAGCAAAGACGCAAAGGAAGGCAGTGATTTTTCTTTTTATTCTATACAAGTGGGGAGAGAGCCCCTGGGGGCAGAGGGATAGATCTGCCCTCCAGGGAGGGAGAGGCCCCCCCCCCGACTCTCTGCTGAGGGAGCAGGCATTCAGAGCCTCCCTCTTTCCAGGTTGCTCCCTCCCTCCCTGTCCCCCTACTGCCCCCCACACCTCATATGCCATCCAGCCCCTGTGGGATGGGCTGGCAGAGGGGCCTGGAGGTGCAGGGGGTAGGGGGTCAGTCCTTGTGAGGCACATGTCGAGAGGAGGGCTGGGGAGGGTGCAGCAGCGCTGTCAGTCTGTTCCCGGCTCACTGGTTCCTGCTGGGGACAAATCCAGGGGGGCCTGTTTCCTGGGCAGGGAGAGCCAGCCGCCCATGTCGGGTGCGCCATGTTGGACAGGAGGGTGGGAAGGGGAACTGCCCTCTGGCCCACCCACCGGCACCTGTGGAGTCAGGGGGCCTTCTTCTATCAGGCTCCAGCTTGTCACAGGACTGTGCCCGCCGTGTCCTCTTGGGCTTCAGCGGGGCAGTCCGGCGGCCTGGATCTAAGAGCCCTGAAATGATAGCCAAGGCAGGTCCGGCATGGGAGTGGGGCTCACAGCTGGGTGCTTGGGCTGGGGACCGGTGTGGGCAGCAGGGTCCCAGAGGCATCCCGAGGCCCCCTCCAGCCAGGCAGCAGACCTTGGACCTCGGACTCCTCTTGGTCCTGCTGTGAGCCCAGCCTCAGCCGGGGTTTGTTCATTCCTGGGGCTGCACCCCCAGCCTCAGCCTCTTCCCTGCCCGCTGGCTCCTGGGGGGGACGGCGGCCCCTGGGCACAGCCACTGGCTTGGGGGGCCGTGGAGCTAACGGGGGGTCCTGCAGCTGACAGAAGAAGGAAGATGCTGGATCATTAGTTAGTCCTTTGCCTTATCAAACCGCCTTCCCCACTCGCCTTGCCAGCCCTCACCTTGGCATTCCTAGCGGGAACGGTCCTCTCCGGGAACAGGGCCCCCTCCCTCTCCTCCTCCCCATCCTGGGAGGAGGGGCTGGGGCTCTGGCAGCTGTGGTTGGGGGCACTCTCCTCAGCTAGGGGATGAGGAGAGAAAAGAAACTGCAGGAACAGGCATTCTTGCATAGCCCTCCCTCCCCTGCCCCTATGTTGCCCCGGAGGCCTGGACTTCCCCTTTTGCTCCTATGCCTCTGCTAATGTTCCCTTCTACTCTTACATTTCCTTAGACCTTGGCCCCCAGGGTGGTCCTGAGCCCGTCACCTCTGGAGTGGGCTCAGGCTGCCCCTCGTGAAGAGCAGGGTCTAGCTCTTTCCTGCTGGGATAGAGCCAGAGCCTGGGGCCGTCTGGCCCACAGGCGGGGCTGCTCAGCCAGGGCTGCAGTGCCCGGGGCCCTGCCAAGGCTGCAGCCTGGCTCTCCCAGGACTTTGTCTCCTGTCTGACTTAGATAGCGAGAGCCTCAAGGAGGGGCGCCCTGGCACCCCCACCTCCTGCCTCTGTGGCTTCATGCAAATGGAGCCTGAGGGTGACCCACCTGGAAGGTGTTGTCTGTGTGCGTGTCTGTGGGTGTGGGTAAGAAGCCTGAGGGTGCTGGGGCGGGCGTGCGCGCAGTGGAGCATCCAACTCCCGTGGTCTAAATGAAGGATGGAGCCCCACTTTGCCTATTTAACCACTTTGGGGGGGGGATGGGAAACCAGCAAAGATGCCCCCAGTACTGGCTGGGCCTTGGAGGATGGGCAGGAGCCAGCCTGGCTCTGCACGTGCCTGGTGCCCTGGTGTCTGGTGGAGGGGAGGAGGGTGGTGGAGCGTCTATATCTACGGTGAGATGTGTCCCTGTCAGTGCTGTGGAAGGGTCAGATGCCAGGCCTGTGGGAACTTAGGTTGACGCTGAGCTGCCCAGCTTTCCTTCAGAGGTTCGGTGGGTGCAAGGTGCTCTGAACCCAGCAGAAGCGAATGTCATGGCATGAACCCTCCTTTTTATTCCTTCAGAGTTTCAAAGCCAGAAGGTCAATAACTTGTATAAGGTTATTACTGGTGGTGGCTGGGCTGGGCCTAACAACCAGGGTTTCTGACCTCCAGGGCAGGACGGGCTCTGGCCCCTTCCCTGTGGCACCTGGTGCCTCCTCTGAGGGTGGCTTGGCAGCTGTTTTTGGAGGAGACTGGAATGTTTGAGGTGGGCCTGGCATGACGAGTACTTGCCCACTCTTCCCAGCTGAGGGTCAGAGAGAGAACCTGTCTGTAGAGGGCGCCACTCTGCTGACAGGGACCACAGGCGGCCCTGCCTAGAGAACTATCTGGGATCTCCCACCGTGGGTGCTCTTGTCTGCCAGTCCTGGCAAAGCCACTTCTGTTCTGTCGGGCCTTTCTTCGGGCTGGGCTGTCTCTTGGCTATCGCTCTGTAAATATCCTTAAACATTTCCCGTGTGGACTCTTCACGGCCCCACCTTGGCCTCCCCGATGCAGGGCCGTGGCTTCTGTGTGTGTGGGCACAGCCTGGGCCTGGGCGCTGCTGCCTGAGAGAGGTGTCCGTACCTATGTGCCAGGTGGCCTCTGCACGGCGCATGGCGCTGAAGCTCGGCTTGGTGCTTTGAGGTGGTGGCGGCGGCTTCCAGGCTCCAGGCCCTGGAGTGGAGGCGGGGGAGGGGGATGGAAAAGGGGACCGGGAAAGGCAAATTAGGAGAGGCCCCTGAGAGAGGGGTCAAAAGAAGGAAGGGAGGGTGACCGTGCTCACCTGCATCATCCGAAGAGCGCCGTTTCTGCCAAGCCTGGACGCTGCCCTCCAGGTCTGGGCTTGTGCCCTGAAAGGGGAGTCGAGTCGGGGGGATCAGAAACACCCTCTCCAGGTGGGGGCTGCAGTTAGCAAGGGGCTTCTGCTCTGGCGCTTGCACCGTTTTCCCCAAAGAGTGGCACCCAGACCACCCTAGGGCAGTGGTCGGCAAACTGCGGCCCCTTGAGTGTGACTCTTCCACAAAATACCACGTGCGGGCGCGCACGTACAGTGCGATTGAAACTTCGTGGCCACACTCAAGGTGCCAAAGAGCCGCATGTGGCTCGCGAGCCGCAGTTTGCCGACCACTGCCCTAGGGGCATCAGAAATGGCTCGCATGAATGAAAGTACTGCTATTTTAACAGTTATGTGTTTCTTTTATGTGTAGTAAAAGAGAACAGGACTTTGGTTTTAAAGATAATAATGCACAGGTCCAGACTAAGTTAAAAAAGGCGAGTTGATTTAAATGAAAACAATATGTAAATAATAACACAGGTGGAATGTGGAGAAGATAAAAATCAGTCCTAAAGTGGTAATCAAGTCACCAGAGTTTGGGAAACAGCTCTGGAGGGAAGTGTTTTTATGACCGCCCATTTCACAAGGAAGCAGAGGCTCCAGAGGTCAGGTGACCTGCCCGGGATCTCACGGCAAGTGTCTGGCATGGGCAGAGCTGCAGAGAACACCTCTACCCCCAGTGCATGGTTTTTTCCACGGACCCACCAGGGATGGGAGTGCAGGAAGGAGGGGGTGGTAGACAGGGACCCACAGGACCCTCACTTCACCGCTTGGGCTCCCCTCACCTCTTGTTTCCCATCGAAGCTCCAACCTTTGGTTCTTCCCAACCCAGGAAGGGCAACACC